GCCTTGCACGTGTGAGCTCCTGTAAGTATAAGGGCTTATGGCTGCTGTCCTCCACAGGGAGGGACGAGAGGATGATAGGATGTAGGGTCATGGTGAGGTAGGCTCCCTGAGAGAGGTGGGGGCTGTGGATAAAAGTTGAATGTACAGCCCTGGCCGGTTTGGCTCAGCAGTTACAGTATCGACCTGCGGTCCAGAGAGACCCAGGTTCGGTTCCTGCTAAGGGCGCGTACCTCGGGTGCAGTTTGTCCCTGGCCCTGGCTGGTCGTGCGGGTGGACATGTCGATGTTTCTTTCTTTCTCTCTTCCTCTCTCTCTCTCCCACTCTATCTGAACAAAAAATAGAAAAAAATATCCTCAGGTGAGGATAAAAAAAAAAGTTAAATGTACTTATGGATAGTTTTTTCTGCTTGTTTAAACCAGCACAATGTAGTTGAAAAGCTTCTTTAAATTCCACCTCCTATATTGCTTGCTCTGTGACCTTAGACAAATCACCTCCCCTCTCTGGGCCTCACTTTCTTTGTCTATAAAATGGAGATATGGACTAATTCTTGTTGAGATCCAATTCAACAGTAACCTTTAATAATTTTATGTTAATATAATAATCTGATAATCTAAGTAAAGGAGAGTAATATAAGTATAGGAAAGAAGAAACCACTGATTATTACATGCTGCTTACATTAAATTACCTTGTATCCTTGGGCATACAGTATTCAACATTGGACCTAACTACCAGCCCTTCCTCTGGGGAACATCGCTCTTTCCCAAATGCTCACTTCCTGACTCTAACCCTGCTGCCCTACCCTCAAGGTCCAACAGAAAAGACCACCCCACTATATATTCTCTCCCACTCCTCAGAAGCATTTAAAGGAAAAAAATGAGTTTGTGGTCTGTGAGTCCTTATGGTGTGGCCAGAGCCCTAGACCAGCAGTCAGACCTCAGTCCCCACCCTGGTCTATCACTGGTTTACCATGTGTCCTTGGACAAGCCACTTCTCTCTGATCTTCGCCTTGTCTATAAAATGAGCACTTGAATGGGTTTTTCTTTATGAACCCTCCTCTAACCCTAGGGTGGCTACCGAGTCTGGGAGAGGTCAGAATCTGCAGGCCAGCATTTCTCCAACTGCTCCAGCATCCCCAGCCGGTTGCCGCCAAAATGAGAGCGCCACTGTCCGCACTCAGCTCAGGGAGCCAGAAGTCAGGTGGGATGTGCAGGGCCAGGCGCAGTGCCAGCCAAGCTCAGCGCTCTCCAGCCAGGGCACGCTGGCCCCTCCAAAGCTGGATTCTACCGCATTTTCACAGATGTTCTTACTTGTAGAACAAGGATAGACAAGGCCTCCAAAGGGATAAAAAACACATGCTTCAAGGACCAGACCAGGGCACAAAGTGGAGTTCAAGATTCTTTGCTTGTTAATACAGGGTTTTAGCTAAGGTATAACATACCTACAGGAAAACGTACATGTACCAGGAACGGCTTGATATATATTCATGACATGAACACAGCTGTGAAACAGGCACCCAGATCAAGAAACAGAACAATACCTATGCCCCAGAAATGCCCCTGTGCCCCTTCCAGTCACTAGTCTCCCCAATTAACCACTATCCTGACTTCTAGCATATGTGATTCATGTTGCCTGTTTCAAACTTTACACAAATGGAATTATACAGTATGGACTCTTGGAGTCTGGCTTCCTTTACTCAACATTATGTTTGTGAACTTCACGCATCAGTACAGGTAAAAATGAAAATTTATTGTCATTCACTTTCATTTTACATAGTAAGGACTTAATGAGGAGCTAAAATCAACAGACAGCCCTGAATGTGGGCGGGGGTCCTCACTGATAGCCAAGACAGCAGGAGTCCATTCCGCTCTCTCCAGAATAAGAATGATGGCCCCCCTCCACCCACTGCTCTTCCTGTAGTCCCACACCTTTCTCCTAGGGGCTCCATAGGTGGGAGGCAGGACCCTGACACCCTAAAGGTGTGAGCTCTTCAAAGGCTGGAGCTCTTGTTTACTGAACACTTACCTTGCAGCCGGCTCTATGAGGAACACCGCAGACTCAACATCTCTTCTAACCCCACAACTGTGAGGTAGGTACTGTTATTATTTCTACTATACAGGTAAGAAAACTGAGGCCCAGAGAGGTTGCGTAAGTTGTCCTAAATTTGCACTGCTAGGAAGGGGACCCCAGCCCCAATTGGTGTGACCTCTAAGGCCAAACCTCTCCACCATTCTGTGCTGACAGGGAGCCTGCCGGCTGCATCTGGCCCCCACTCATGTCTCCAGCCTCATCTGGCACCATTTGCCCACAGCTCATGTTCTGAGGCCACACTGTCCTCCTGCCAGCAGCTCAGGTGCCAGGCCCTTCCCATCGCTGGGCCTATGTCCATGCTATTGCCTCTACCTGCATATTAACCCCTCAGTTCTCAAATTAACAGTCTCTTCCTCCCGGCAGCCTTCCCTGACCACCCAGTCTAACCTACATCCCCTCTTCTCTCTTAGAGCACCTGCTCTCTCCGTTCACAGCCCTTAACACATGCTAAAATGATGTGTCCTTTTCTGTTCCCTTGTTTAGTGCCTTTCTCCACCAATGGAGCATAAGCTGCAAGAGGACAGGAATATTCCTGTTTGCTTACCACTACCTTGGGCAGTGCCTGGTCCACAGTAGGTCCTTAATAGTAGGTTAAGTGAAGAAAAGAGGGGCAAGAGAGACAGGGAGGCCTGTTCCTTCAGGAGCTGAGCAGTCATCTGGAACCAGCTCTATTTCCAGGCAAGACCTTCCCCTCTCTGAGCCCCAGTTTCCTCAACTGTCAGATGAAGGAGCCCCTAGAAGGGCCTCTAGACCACAAATCCTAGCATGTCAAGCATTCCAAAGGCCTCTACTGCCTCTTACCCACTCCATGTCTGGTTAGCACGTTAGAAAAGTAGGCGGGGTCCTTTAAGGCTCCCCAGGCTATGAGATACATGGGGCCTTCACATCCTGTGACAGGAGAGGATCAGAAAATGTGAGATCTCAAATAGTTCTCATAGCTCAGATACGATGGGTGGAGAAAAGACAGGATTAGAAAGAAATAATAAATGAATTCCCAAGAAGCTGCTCTGCTTCCTTCTTCAGAGTCTCCCACCTCAACTGCTCAGTTCTCCGCTCAGGCACTGGTCCCATGCAACTCCGCCCCTGCTACGTGCGCGGCTGCCCCCAGCGCCAGCTGGAGCTCCAGGAAGGCAGAGACTGTGTCCTCATCTTTGTACCCACAGCACTTAGCACAGACCCCTACACACAGGATGTGACCATGGCGAGGCCACCAAATCAAACACCACTTGCAGGGTCTGCTGCTGAGGATGCCACTCTCCCTCTGGTGTCACCAAGGTCAGGAGAAACACCTGAGGTGACGAGATTCCAGCCTCCCTTTCAGAGGCAGACTCCAACAGACCACTCCAGCTCCTGGCCCTCTGTCCTCCTCCCACCCTTTCCCCGGGCCCTGGACGGCCTATGACAGCCGGTCTTTGACGTAAGGCAAGAGGGGTCATCCTCCTCTAGGGTCTCTGCGTCACCTGTTCCCCGCCCACCCAGCCATCTAGTCACCCAGGACAAGCACTGCCTGAACTTGACGCTCCTGCCCCTCCCATTCTTCTCAGAGTCTGGCTCTGGCTTGGAAGCTCTTTCTGTTTTGTCTTTCAAAATTAAAAAAGTAAAAAATTAGTCCTGACTCAAGAACTCTATAAAGAGGAAGGGCCTCTTGTTTAGCCCCTTGGATACAGTGGAGGCCCTAAACCCCCAGTTTTTTATTTTGCTGGGTGTGTGAAGGGTGAGGCTGCGTATCCTGGTGAGCACGTGTGAGTGTGCAAGTTCCGCGCTCACAGGAGAGAGCACAACAGATGTGCAGCTGCAAACTGGACGGGCCAGACCTTGGTTATGTCACTTGCTGGCTGAGCAACTTTGGGCAACTCGCTTAAAATGCTTGGGACCACAGTTTCCTCATCTAAAAAACGAGAGTAAAAATAATTCCCATTTCATGCACGGTTGTGAGAATGAAACTCCAGGACTAGTGTTCTATAATCACTAAAACACCATCTAAATATTAGCAGTTGTTAGAAATGGAAGGCAAAGAGAGGGCTTTGGAAAATCTTCAATTCTCTCCAAATAGTAACTACCTTCAGATCTGAGAGGTTAGCTTTGGCTGCATCTGTGTTTGGCAAACCTAAAAATGTACCCAATAACTCATATCCTAGGAAGCTTCATGGCTACGTCTGTGTGGCTTGTTACTCAACGCAAATCCACTTTCAGGAGGATTACTTCACCTCCTATTCAGGCTCTGAGCTTATGAAACCAACTCCTGAGAGCGGTGGAGAATGCCAAGTGGGACTCAGAGAAGAAAACCAACAGGCCAGGTCTCGGTCCAGAACCTGGGGAGGGCTTTGGCAGAATAGCAGCAGATAAACCAAAAATTGTTTAGATTCACCATAACTCTTAGCCAGAATGTATGAAAACACAGAACTCAACAATTCTAGCCTCTTCTGCTGGTGGCTTTGTTTTCAGAGCCGCCCATAAAAATGAATAAATCTCAGAATTACTGACCACTGTCAGAGGGAAGTGGGGGTTGGAGGGGCTGAGTAAAAAAGGTGAAGGGATTAAGCAAAAAAAAAAAACCCACGGAAACCCCAAACTCATAGACACAGACAACATATGGTGATTGCCAGGGGGAAAGGGGTGGGGCAGGTAGAAGAGGGTGATGAGGGGATAAATGATGACGGACGGAGACTTGACTTTGGGTGGTGAACACAATACAATACACCAATGATGTATTATAGAATTATACACCTGAAACCTATGTAATTTTATTAACCAATGTCACCCCAATAAATTCAATAAAAAGTAAATAAATAAACAAACCTCAGGACTGTGTTCAGAGCTTTCCATGAGTCCTGTGACAAGATCACAGGGCACCAAGAAAAGTGTATCCTTGGCTCCACCTGGCATCCCCTCCGCCTCTCGCCTCCTCTTACCTCCCTAGCTCCTCTCCGATGTCGTAAAAGTCCTCCACCTTCTGCTGCTTGAAGGTCTCCATGTCGGGGCTCCTCATTGAGGCCTGGAGCACACAGCCCTGAAACTGAGATTAGGACAGATGTGTAAACTGGCGCAAGCCTAAGAGTCTGAGCCTGAACGTAATCAGCTGCAAGCGAGCTAATAATTTAACAATAACCCTCAGCCCTCCTTCCTCAAGAACTGCTCTGCTCAAGCCTTTCCTCACCTGTGACCAACACTGCATGGCTCTGATCTGTTGGAGTAACTCAAATGTGTTACTCTTCACTTATTCAGGTACTCCTCACTTACCCAGATCTGCTCTGAACAAGTTCAGAGAAACAGAAACATGCCAACTTCGGCAGTTTATTCTCAGGAAAGTCAGGTCTCCTGAGGAAAGAGGCAGCCGTGATGCAGGAGAAGGCGCACTCGTTATTGAGTCAGAAGATCTGGGTTCAAGTCCCAGTTTTGCTTGGGTAAGCCATTTAAACTGCGGAAGACTCAGCTTCCCCGTCTGTCAAAGGGACCGATGCTGTAAAAACCAACAGCAAATCATGAAATTATTTTGTAAACTATAAAATGCAGTGAAAGGGTAAGGGATTTTCATGACCACAGCTCCCTCAGGGCCGTGCCACCTGAGACTAAACTGCTTAGTAAACTCTCTCGCTCATCACCCCAAGGGAAAGATGGGCCGGAGTGGAGAGACAAATTACAACAGGCATCAGAGTGGGGAGCCTGCGGCTGCAGCTCCAGTTTTGCCCGCAGCCGGTTCTATGACTGCACCTTTTGTCAGGGGAGCTTCAGTTTCCTCATCTGTGGGATGGAGCGAGCTCCGCTGCTCGGGGCACGCACTGACCGCCGCAGGACAACTCTGGGCCGTGAGAGTGCTCACCGCTCCGCCAGAAGAAACCATTAGCTTGTCCTGCCCCGAGGAGCTCACCCATTCCTAGAACAGACACATGCGACCTTCAACAGCACCCCAAGGGCGAGGCCCAGGACACAGTCTGCAAGTCACAGAGATAACAGCAGCTGCCTGTGGATGTGTCTTTCAAGAGTCATTATCACGGGCCTCTCAGAGCTCACTTAGGCTAAGCGTTGGCAGCTTTTCTTCTGCTTGCCAATCAGATACCAACCACACCCGGGCCCCATGAACCCCAAAAGACTGTTTTCACCAGGGTGGGTGGAGGCACCATTACATAAGGGCATGTCTCATCAATGCCAAGTAGCTGGGCTGTTCTAATACTCAGGTGACATGTACACTTCACCTTCTTTCCTCAACGTCTGTCCCCTGCAAACCACAGCCCTGTTACCAAGATGCCACCTGCCTTCCACAGAGGCACACACATGCTTGAGGACCTCCAGACGGGCACCCAGGCCTTACTCTCAGGGTCAGCTGCTGACCTCCTGCCTGTTGGCGCTCACGGTCCAGCACACATCCTCCTCCCTGTTGGTCTTCACCCTGTGCTCGGCCAGGGCCCAGCAAGGGCGGAATACTGAAAAGAGCAGGCTCCAGGAGCCCCAGTCCTAGGCTAGTCTGATTGTACATTCGCGATGTGACTCACAGCAGGTTGGCACCCTCTCTGAGCCTCAGTCCCCCTCATCTGTAAACAGGGTGATAACATTGCTATCACCTACTTGACACATATGTAAGGATCCATTGTGAGATGGGCATAAACTGCTGGGCACAGAAAGAGGATGACTGTCACTGTTCCTGTCTGACTCATCCCAGACTATTGTTCGTGTTTCTGCTTCCCACAGCCATTAAGACAACCAATGCTGTGCCTTTCTGAGGAAAGGTTTGGGGATCCTCCTGGCAAATTTGGTTTGACCAGAATCAGAAGCTTGGCCCATCCTGGCAAATCTCCTGAGACGAGCCCAGAGGGTGGAGGACTGCTACCCACCATCTTCTTTGTGCTCAAAACATCCTTCCAAATAAACTATTTGGGTCAGGTCTTTGCGGGGCGGGGTTGGGGGTTACTCATTTCTCACAGCTAGATGGAAGCAGAAAACTCCAAAAATGTCTGTTGGCAGATACCTTGAGAGTGGTCCCAGGAACAGTAAGATCTGCCATTGGCCCGAGGCCAGGGACCTTGCCATCAAGAGCTGAGCTGGATTTGAAGCAGCCCCAGCTCCCCAGCAAAAGGATAAGCCCCATCCTTGGGCTCCACATCCTAGATGGCTGGGGTGAGGGCAAGGGAGCCCCAAGGGCAGACTAGAACCGCCAATTTGGCCCCAACTCACCTTCCCAGCCTTGGCCCCCTCCCTCCACGTATCCTATATTACAGCCAAAGTAGACCCTTCCCATCTCCCAAAACTTTCACCCCTGCCATGTCTCAGCTCAGTCTGGACCCTTTCCAGGGAAAGCCTAGCTGGAGAGCCCTCCTAGTGGCTCAAATGCAACCATATCTGTGAGGCCCTCTTTCTTGTCAAAACAGATGAAAATTCTCTCCCTCTTTCAATTCCCAGAGAGAGCTCTTCATCCATTTTTAGGGTGAGAGCTTACTCACATTCTGGCTCATCATAATCTGTGTCTATGTCTAACCCTGAGGGCTAGAGCACAGATTCCACAGTCACGCGGGACTGGGTTCAAATCCCAGCTCTGCCACTTACTAGCACACACTGAGCACAGGATAACTTTGCTGAGCTTTAAATTACTTACGTGGAAAATGAGTCTAGACAATGCGTGGTGTCAGTGAGTGTGTGGAGCACCTAAAACTCTGAAACACGGGGACACCGGCAAGCCGTTGGCAGTGTGCACAGACATACCAAAGAGAGATGCATGCAGATGTGTTCTAAATGATCCATGTTGGAATGCTCACAGCAGCACTATTAATAGTAACTAAACACTGGAAACAACCAAATGGCCATCAGTAGAAGAATGGATAAGTAGAAGTATGCCAATACCATGGAATTATTATACAACATAGAGAATAAACTACTGCTATCTGCAACTACGTGAAAGAACATAATGTTGAGTGAAAGAAGCCAGACACAAAAGACTTCATAATGTGTGATTCCACGTAGGTAAAACTAGTCTATAGTGCTAGAAGTCAGAAGAGTGGTTACCCCTGGGTGAGGGATTGTGCCTGGAAGAGGGGGTTCTGGGTGCTGGCAATGCTGTTTCTTGATCTGGGTAGTGGTTACATAAGTTATGAGACATACACTGATTTTGTATGCAGTTTGACATAATTATAAAAAATGAGTCTAATATCTACCTTATGGAACAAATGAGATAATATACGTAAAATGTTTTAAGCAGTGCTTGGATGGTCCCACTAAATGTGAGTTCCTTCCTCCTGCCTATTGTCTTGGAACCCCATGAGGGCAGGGGTTGTGACAGTCTCTCCTCTGTCTCCTTGTAGGAGCTGGTATACATAAATGATGATACTTTATCAGGTAAAAACAACTGGTAACAACCTAAAGCCCTTTCCTTACCTCTCTCCCCAAGATGAACATGCACTTTGCCAGTTTAGAAACATGAATGTAAAGGGGAGAAACTCTGAGGTGGAATTATAGTCACAAATTACACCCAGAGGCACAGGCACTTTTCTGGCCCTGCAAAGATGAAACCACATGGCAGAGGGGGGGGACACAGCTACAACTTTTGGCCAGAGGCACATGCCCTCAGCTCCAGACATACCAACGATGAGCCCCCTCTTAATGCCCAAGTTTCCCTTAATGGAATCTCTAGAATTTACATTCCTACCCCCAACCCTAATACTTCTGAGGGTTAATACAGATTTCCAAGAACCTCACAGAAAGGGGACTCCAAGGTCATCTGGGGGATTTTTCGACTCTGCTTCGGCAGCCACCGGTGTGAGGAAGGGGAGCCAGAGCACTTCCACTTCACCCACAGTGTATGTTTGGGTCCTGGGTAAGAATTCATGGGGGGAGGGGGCCCTGAAAACCACTGTTGTCTAGTCTAACCCACTTGTTTTACAAAAGGAGGAAATTGAGGTCCAGACAGGGGGAGGGATGTGATAAAAGTCACACAGTTAGCCCACTCCAGCTGCTCCTCCTGAGCTTCTGTTGACAGCACCTCCGATGGTGGCACCAGGGTTGGGAAAGTCAGTGGCCTCTGAGGGACAACCTAGGAGGAGGCCTCCAGGGCTGGAGGATCACCCTATAGGAGACTCAGAAGATGAGCCACCTGCCTAAACTGACATGAGAAAATTCCATCTTTCTGGTGAAGGTCCAGCTCCGCTGGGCAGCCTGCTTGTTCATCCTCACATCCAACAACTAGGGGAGCCTGAGGAGGTGGTCAGGGTCAGTTCAGGTCTCATTCCTGCTACTTGGAAACTTGCCCCACATCAACACCCCATTGCACCCTATGACCAAGTCTCTCCCAAAGCTGCTCAGCTATCAGCGGGACCACTTTGGGTGCTAAAAACATATCCTGGGAGATGAGTGGTTTGGGAAGAACAGGACTCTGAACGTATTTGTGAAGGAGCCAAAGCTGCAGCACCCCTCAACCACCAGGATTCTTCCAGAAATACCTTACACGGAGGAACTTGGGAAATGAGTGTCAGGAACCAGAGCAGCAGCCCCCAGCTACCCTCCACTGGATTCCAGAGTACAAGGTATCAGAGGCCGCGCTCATTGTACCTGCCCACCAGACCTTCCCTCCCGCCTCTGGCATCCACCCTTCCAGTGTGCACTCCTAATCTACCACCACCTGTGTCCTCCAGCTTCGCCTCTCTGGGCCTCATTTTCTCCTTTCTAAAGTGAGAATGCTAATTACGGCCAGACCCACACATGCCATGAGACATCCACAATGCCTGACCCAGAGCCCGGGTCAACTGTTGACAGCACCCTTCTATGCCTTTCTGCCCCAGCCCGCACTGTCCTGCTGGCTGCCCCCATGCCGCCCCAGCTCTGCCCTAGGCGGGGATCCTGATGACAGGGCTCACAGCTTCGTTCTACCACATAGGAAGCTGACTGTACGGAGTAGCCTCCTCGCATCACCTGCTGGAGCAAGTGGGGAGTCCTGCGAAGCGGCTGATGCTGAGAAGACCTGGCCCCTCTTCTCCCAGAAATCTGGGGTGCTCTACCCCATCAAAAGGCTCCAACTAATGGAAGGAAGTCTGTCTCCCACCTCCTCCCTGGATGCCAGGCCTCTGCCCAACGCCCCGGTTCCCGGGTCAAACTGCCAGGGTTAGGAGCCGGCAGGTCCCGGCGTTCCAGTGAGGCCACAGCGCCCAAGGCCACGGCCGGCCGTGCCCGCGAGCGGCGTCAGGGACCTGGGCGGCGGGCTTGGAGAACATGACAGTGCGCCTCGGGGCAATTTGCCCCGCCAGCCCCGGGGCACAGCCGCTGTCGGGCCCCGTCTCGCCGGGCGAGCCCGCACACGGGCGCTACTCACGGCGAAGGCTGCGCTGCGGCGGGTGCGGTGGGCACTGGGGCGCGGCGGGGTGCGCGGCGCTCGGCTCCGCTCTGCTCCTTGCGCTCCGGGCGCCCTCCGGCCCGCCCGCCAGCCGCCGAGGAGGGGCGGAGCGGCCAGCCCTGTCCCAGGCGCCGGCTGGAGGCGCGCCGGGCAGCCTGGACGGGGCTCTGGGCGCCCCCTGCTGGGAGCCCCTAGGGCCAGTCCTGGGGTGAGGGCCCAGAGCCTCCCTCCCAGGTCCGGGCGGTCACCTCCAGAGCTCTGGGAAGACCTTCCAGGCGTCCTTACCAGCTCTGCAGCTCACGTGCTGTGTGGCCTTGGGCAAGTCAGCTAACCTCTCCAAGACTTGTCTGGAAATTGATTTAAATGGGCCGATACGTGTGACATAGCTTGGCACAATCACTCAGAAAATGGTGTTTCCTTGCCCCCCCCTCCTCCCCAAACCGCACACACTCCGTGAGAGGAAGTCCCACTAGGGAATAGGCTGCCTCCTCCCTGCCCGCCGGCATGCTCCCTGACACTGCACAGATTCTTCTGGGAACCTCACCACCCACGTTCACAGCGGGGTGGGGGCTGTGATGCGGAGGGTCACTCCCTGCCTCACC